TGGGGGAATGAGGTCAGCAGGGTATCTGGCATCACTGAGGAGGGCTTACTGCAGGGGTAGGGTGTTGGAAATGTTCCTGTTTCCTCTTCCCCGCAGAAGGGCTGGCATCCAGAGGAAGGGCTGTCTGCGGCAGTGGGTGGTACAAACCCCAGTTTAGCTCTTGGGGCTGAGGGGGAGGCTGGCTATGGACTTGCAGGGAAATCCAAAGATAGCTCAGCAGAGAAGGATGACTCGCAGCCTGGGCTTCCCCTCAAATCAAGGGAAGCGAGGATGATTCAGCCTCTGCAAGTGGAACGAAGCGGCTGTGGGAAACGAGACCTAGGTTCAGGGTCCAAGGCTGCTCTGTCTTTGACCAAGCAGGGCAGAGAGGGAGGGCTCTGAGGTGGGATGAGCTGGGTGTGAATCCAGGCCCTCTAGGCCCTGCTCCTCTTGAAACCTCAGTTTCTGTATCTGTACAATGGGGTGGAGTGGGGCGGGCAGTGGTGGTGGTGACTTACAAAACAGGAGCGCAGAGCTGGGCGTACAGGAGGACCTCTGTAAGTGCCAGCCCCCTTTCCTTTTTCTGTCTTAGTCCTAGCAGGTATGAAACAAGTACGTAGGATGGTTTGGAATTTCTGTTAGTCTCCTGGTAGGTGAGTTTTCATCTAGGTTCTGGTGGGATATGAGTAGAGAGGGTTAAAGGGCAGTAGAAAAAAGAGAAAGGGGAGCCCCGTATTCATTGTGTCTGAAAATCAGTAGCACTAATAAAAATGATTAAGTTCTCGCCTGTATTTGTTCTTACTAAATACCTGACCCTCTGTGCACTCCCAGTTTTAATCTTCACAGCTGACCCATGGGAAGGTGGCCCTATCTTACAGGTGAAGTGAAATGTTCAGAGGTGAAGCCACTTGCCCAAAGTCACACAGCCAGTGGTTGGCAGAGCCAGGATTTGGACCCTGATCCAAATCTAAGGGAGGAGGGCTGGGGGCCTGGACTCCTGGGTCTGAGGGAGGAGGGGCTGGGGGGCTGGGCTCCTGGGCCTGAATTGAAAGCCCTTGCTCTTCACCGCAGATCTGGGCTGGGGCCCGGCGGGAGTTGAGGACTCCCCAGCCTACAGACCTGGGAGGATACTTCTTAGAGGCCTCTGTTTTATAGATGGGGAAACAGGTTCAGACAGGGCAAGGGCGTTCCACTGGTTGACCTGCCTGTTTGGAGTGTGGATATGTTTCGAAAGAAACAGCAACTTCTTCTGACTTTGTTTAACATTTATTACAAAGTATAAAAGCAGAGACTGGTGAGCTTCACCCTTCCCCACAGGTCCCACCTTCTCCCCCACCAGATAATTCTCTGCAGCTCTGGAGAATTGGTGTCCTCCTCGATCTCCCGCCAGGGGGCTCTGCCTTCTGCCTCGGGCCTCGTTCCTTCATCTGTGCTGGTCAGCGGGTAACTGATGCAGCCCAGGATCTTGGACTCTGGGACCCCGCTCCCCTCCTCCTCTGGGACTCCGGAGTCCCAGTCCCCAGGCACAGGGTATGTGGGACAGGGGTGACCATTTTCCCGTTTGGGGCCTCGGTAGGGATGGGCCACGGCCTCCCTCCTTCAGCTAGTGTCCCCACCAGCAGCCATCAGAGAGTCAATCCACCCCAGGGTGTGGCCCCCCTCGGTCCTTACGCTTAACTGGCTTTATGCATGGGGCTGGGTTAGGAGTAGCAGAGAGAATGTCCTTGACCTCAATCCTGGGGAAAGTAGCCTGGTTCTTCCTGGCTGGGTCCTGGGGAGACAGAGAGATGGATAGACAAGCAGGCCAGACACCAGAGGAAGAGACAGAGACAGAGACCAAGCAAAGAAAGAGGGAGCGGGTACTGAGAGTCTGTGAAGGGGGGATGGAACATCTGTTTCCTTCGCTGCTGGTCCAGCCCCGAACTTGGAGTCCCTCCCTCCAGACAGAGCCAAAGCGGAAGAGAAAGGGTGGCGTCACCTCCAGGCCGCCCATCCCCCACCCCCTTAGTCACATGGAGTGCTGGCCACAGGCACCCTTTCTCCAGGATGTTCTCCTGCCCAAGTCCCAGCTCCCTTACCAGCTACGTGGCCTCCTGGCTTGGTTCTGGAAGCTGCCGTGGACCCAGGGCAGCGCTAAGCAGCTCGGTCAGGGTGTCTAGCCTCCCTGCCAGCGCATCAATCTGCTTCTCCAGGGCCTGGTGTGAGGTGCTCAGACCCAGCTGCAGGTCACAGAGGATCATGTGCATCTGGGCAGAGAGAGGTCAGAGGGATCGGCGGCTGGGGGAGACTCTCCCTGCCCCGTGGAGTAAGGCAGTGGAACCAGCATTTACTAAGTCCTTACTATCCTCAATAATATCAATTACCTTATCAACCACCTGCCACTGCCCAGCAACTTGGCCCGGTGCTTTTTATAGTTTAAAATCCTCCTAAAAGTGTGGGCAGTGGGAATCCTGTTTCTATTTTTAAGAGCTGAGGAAACAGGCCTGGAGCAGTTAAATGACACGCCCAAGGCAGCACCTGGATCAGGGAGGCCCTAGAACTTAGTAGGTGCTCACTTAAATCTTTGTGTAATTGATGACTGCCTGACTTCACAATCCACAGAGCCCTTTCTCTACCTTCTCAAACTAGGATTCACAGCTTCGTCCTTGAGAGTGTGTGAGCTTTCTATGAGAACTCTTGACTTCCGTGTTTTGGGCCGTGTGGATAATCTTGGAAATCATGACCTGCCAATTCCGGCAGATTTAGGCCACCACCATGAAGTTTAGGGGCCGGCATCTGTGGCTGTGTTTACCATGGTATTGGGGCCAAGGGCCACTGTTTGAATTGTCGTGGACTAATGAGAAAAAAGCAAAGGCTACCGGATAAGCAAGAGGTGCTGTGAGCCAAGCCGGGGTGCGTGATGTCACCTACTCGAGCACTTCAGAATCAAGGGGACCCAGCAGAAGGAGGGCAAGCTGAGTCACCGCTTGGCCAGGCAAGGCTGCCCAGCGCTCCTGGGCCCCCTCTTCACAATAGCAACACAGATTGAGTTTTCCACCTGTCCATGTGTCAGTGCTGTTAATTCACATTTTATTGCTTTGCCCTTTGTGTCTGAACTTGGTTTGTCAATTTGCTTTGGTTTTATTGTTGTATAAGAGTCATAGTTGAAAGGAATTTTATATCCGTCCACATGTAAGTAACTTGACAATGGAGATAATTTCGAACATCGAACACTGGAGTTCTTTGTACAAGTTAAGTTTCAAAGGAAACTGCACCTTACATGAGAAACGCTATTGCGTCATTCACTTATTCATTCATTCATTCGTTCAGCCACAAACCTTTAGTGAGTGCCTGTGTGTGCCAGCGTTCCCTATTCTAGGGCCAGATCTCCTTACCAGCTGCCCCCAGCCTCCCTCTTCTTGCAGACCCGCTCTCATGGGATCCCAGTACCTTGGAGATGTCCACCATAGAGTTCACTTTTTCCTGGAGCTTTCTGTGTTTCAGCCGCACCTGGCGGAACCTGGGGGTAAAAAAAAAATGGGGGGGTCAGAGTGGCCCTAGCTCAGAGGTGGGATGAGAGGGGGTGGCTGCACCCATGAGCCTGCCTCCCACATAGAGACCCGGGCATCCAGGCCCACAGACACTCTGAGACATGTAAACGAAACCATCACGCAGAGTCACTGTGAGGTCCAGGTGGACATCCGTTCAGTGAGACAACACATGGGCATCCTGACCTGGGCATGCATTCATGCTTGGTCACACACACACATGCGCGTGCGCGTGCACCCTGCAGAGAGGAAGAGACTTGGACATGGCGTGCGCACGCACAGAGGTCCTCACCTGTTGATGGCGGCCAGCAGCCTGCGCTGGTGCCTGCGGGCGGCTCCTGAGTCCTTCCTGCGTGTATGTTTGTAGAACATCCAGGACTCTTGCAGCACTCGGGCGGCTGACTCCTTCATCTGGGGGTGGGTTTCACAGTGTCAAGCGAGATAGTCCTCCTAGAGTTCTGGGAGGAGGGGCCCGTGGTCTGGATCCTGGGTGTGAGGGAGGAGGGGCCTGGGACCTGGATCCTGAGTCTGAGGGAGGAGGGGCCAGGGGCCTGGATCCTGGATCTGAGGGGGGAGGGCCCGGGGGCCTGGATCCTGGATCTGAGGGGGGAGGGGCCGGGGGCCTGGATCCTGGATCTGAGGGGGGAGGGGCCGGGGCCCTGGATCCTGGGGCTGTGGAAGGGGTGTGCTCTGGGTGCTGGAGGCCCCCTCACCTCTTTGGTATACTGAATATCCATCATGAAGTTGTGCACGTGCTTCTCTGCCTTATTAAACTCCAGCTTCCGGGCCACCACAGCCACCAGCAGGGCTGTGCAGCAGACTCCCTGTGGGCACAGCAGGCACTATGACACAAGGCCCATGGGGATCTGAGGACCAGCCGCGTGCCACCAACTCCCTCTCTTCTTGAGCCCTCCCAACAGCCACAGACAGCAGGCACCACCACTGCTAGTTGACAGACAAGCAAACCGGCCCAGAGAGAACCAGGGTCCCACAGCTCCCAGTGGTGGAGCTGGGATCATAAAATCATGCGTCCGAGTCCAACTCCTAGGTGTGGTATTTACACCATCACAATGTTCTCTCTCTTTTTAAAAAAAAATAGATTTATTTATTTTATTTATTTATTTTTGGCTGCATTGGGTCTTCGTCGCTGCACACGGGCTTTCTCTAGTTGCGGCGAGTGGGGACTACTCTTTGTCGTGGTGCGCGGGCTTCTCATTGCTGTGGCTTCTCTTGTTGCAGAGCATGGGCTCTAGGTGTGCGGGCTTCAGTAGTTGTGGCGCGTGGGCTCAGGAGTTGTGGCTCGGGGGCTCTAGAGCGCAGGCTCAGTAGTTGTGGCTCACGGGCTTAGTTGCTCTGTGGCATGTGGGATCTTCCCGGACCAGGGCTCAAACCCGTGTCCTCTGCCTTGGCAGGTGGATTCTTAACCACTGTGCCACCAGGGAAGCCCATGTTCTCTTTGGTTAAGTGTGATTGGAGATTGGGGAGAAGGGCTGGTTCTGGGCAAGGAGCAGACCTCAGGCTCCTGCGGGACCCTTTCCTCCCCACGGTCCAGTGGGCCGTCAGGTCAGCGAGGGTGCCCTCCCGCTCCTCCCCGCCCCTACAGCCTCTGCCCAGCTCTGGCCATATGCTCTCCCTTCTGGACAGTGTCCAGCCTTTCCCTCACTCCACCCTGACCCCAGGGAGATCGAACATCCAGTTATGACCCTGATGCCCTCGCCCTCATCTCCTTCTAGGCTCCCACTGCCCCAGCCTTCTTAGCGCAGCTCTCAAGGCCTTCCAGGGCCCAGGCCGCTCTTTCTCTGCACAGCTTCCGCCCCAGGCGACTCAGCCCTCACCTGCCTGAGCACCTTGGTCTCACGCTTCTCCCTTCCTTCTCGAGGCCCCTGATCCTGCAAGGCCCCGACAAATCCCAACTGCTCTGTAGCACCTGGAGTTAGAATGAATCTCCTGAAGTCTTCCCCCACCCCATATGTTTCAACTCTTGACCCTCAGAATAATTACTAGCTGTAAACCTTGGCTCTGGGACTGCTTGGGTTTCAAGCCCAGCTTCAGAGCAAGTTATCTAATCTCTCAGCGTCTGAGTTTCTTATCTGTAAAATGTGCACACCCTCACAGTATTACTCCCGAGGATTCCATAAGTTGACACCTTTAGAGCAGAGACTGGCACAAAGTATGTGCCCAATAAAAGTTAGCCGTTATAATTTCATTATACCTTGGAACCTCTCAGCTAGGAGTTGGCTGTGAGCTGGAGTGCAAATCGCCTTATCTCTGTTTCTCCTTTTGTCAAATGAGGGAGGAGGTCCCAGGCAGCCCTGAGAGTCCCTGACCCTTTGGGAGTGTGTCCTTGGCTGAGTCTCTGCCTCTCTTTCCTAGTCACAAAGACTCACTGCTGGAGGGAAGGGGGCTGTCACATTTCCCCCCATGCATCACCTGTGGACCCAGGACTGGGGGATTCACCATGTCCTTCCTGGGACAAATCAGGGCTGGGGCTGGAGGCTTGAATTCCTGTGGGTGAAGGGAGCCATATCTCACAGGGAGGTGAAGGCCAAGGCATCGGGTGCTGGGTCTATGAGGGGAAGGGGGCAGATGTCTAGATTTAGGAGGAGGCCGACTCTGGGGAGGAGGCTGGAGTCTGGCGCTCAGGGAGCCTCTGCCTCATCCTTGACGACACAAGAGCTGGGGTAGGGGCAGCCGGACGCCTGGAACCAGTGACAACAGCTTCCGCATTGCCACCCCCTGACCCATTTACTGAGCATTTTCTGTGTTTGAGACCCTTTACATGGTTTAATTCATTTCGTCTTCTCAGGAACCCCATGAGGAGTACACTGGTATCAGCATCCCCATTTTATAGATGAGGAAATTGAGGCCCAGAAAGATTGTGTGGCTGACTCCCAGCTAGGAAGTGGGCAGAAGCAGGATTTGAACCCAGGCAGCCTGAGTCCACAGGCATGCTCTTGATGTCTAAACGCAATAAATAGCTTTAATGGAGGCTGGGAGACTGGATTCGTGGGTCCTGGAAGAGCCTAGAGCTCGGAAACCAGGTACCTGAGTCCTGGATGATTGAGAGGGTAAAGCGGGGGGAGAGGGCAAGATACCTGAGTCTTGGTGGGGCTTGGGACTGGACTCCTGGAATCTGGGAGGAAATGGGGCTGGGAGGTCAGGGGCCTGTGTTCCTGAGGAGGATGAGGGCTGGGTCCTAGATTCTGGAGGGAGGAAGGACTCAGGGGATGGATTCCTGGATTTTCAAAGGAAATGAGGCTAGTGTTTGTGTCCTGGACAGGGAATGGGGCTGTGGGGGTCCAGACACCCGAGTTTCTTGGGGGGGTGTCCCTGAGTGCCTTAGTTGGCTCTGTGGTTTCCTGGGGCCCAGGGGATGAGCAGTGTGGGGTAAAGGCAAGGTCCCTGAGTGGGTGTACTCACCATGACCCCAGTGCAGAGGCAGACAATCTTGCCCCATGTGGTACCTGGCACCACGTCCCCGTAGCCGATGGTCAGGAATGTGATGGGGATGAGCCACAGTGTGTCTGAAAGGTGCCCGGTGGCATTAACGGTCTGTCTGTGGGGAAGAGTGGGTTAATTCTGGGGTTCCTGTGATGTTTGATACCCTCTTGCTTAACATACACCCACAGTTGCAAGAAGCACTCAGAAAAAGCCAGTTAAGTTCTGGGCTTTGGAGAGCCTGCCTGGGCTCCTCTTTGCTGTGTGACCTGGGCAAGGTGCTCAGCCACTCTGGGCTGTGGCATTTGAACCTGGATCCGACCAATTCCAAAGCCTTTTTGGTTTCAGCTAGGCTACCAGGGCTGCTACATTCAGAGCGTGTGGTTGAGGGGTTGAGAGGGGGGCAGAAACCCAGCCTGAAGTCCCCTTGTCAGACCCGGCAGGGGGCTGCATCCACTCAAAGGAAGGGGCACCTTTTTCTAATTTCCACAAAGATGCTCTATGGCCTAGAGGTGGCCCTATCAGGACTAAAAAAGTGGGACTCTAAAAGGGCTTGACGGGGGACTTCCCTGGTGGTCCAGTGGTAAAGAACCCACCTTACAATGCAGGGGACACGGGTTCAATCCCTGGTCAGGGAGCTAAGATCCCACAGGCCGCAGGGCAACTAAGCCTTGCGCACCTCAACCAGAGCCTGCGTGCCGCAAACCACAGAGCCCACGCGCCCAGGAGCCTGCGTGTCACAACTAGAGAAGAGAAAACGTGCGTGCCACAACTAGAGAGAAGCCCACGCGCCGCAACAAAAGATCCCGCATGCTGCAACCAAGACCTGACACAGCCAAAAATAAATAAAATAAAATAGATAATAAATCTTTAAAATAAGGAAATAAATGCACTTTAAAAATAAATAAATAAAAAGGCTTGGCAGACTCTGCCTCTTTTCCCCTCACTTCATAGGAGGGGACATTTAGGTCCAGCCATGGAAAGGATGGATAATCAGGATTTGTCTAACTTTGACCCACAGTTAGGCCAAAGCAGGGAAAGCATCACTCACCAGGGCCCCAGACACCTCAAACCCACTAAATTAGTGTCTGGAGGTGGCGATTGAATCTGCCCTGTTAAGCTCCAACCCCTTCATCCCCAAATACATTCAAGTTTGAGGACTTCTGCCTCAAACAGATTTAGAAATTTGGCTCCCTCCCCATCCTCCCATTTTTCAGGTGAGAAAATTGGTGGGAGGATCATTTACTGATCCTGAACAATTTCCCAACTGAGAAAACTGAGATCTTGTGAGATGAATGAGTTTAAAATCATGAAAGATTAGAATTGCCAGGGAGACTTTAAAGATGGTGGATTTTGATACCCATTTTATAGATGCGGAAACAGAGGCTCAGAGAGGAGAGATCTAAGGCCAGTTCCTCCCATTCTCCATCTCCCCTCAAGAATCCTTTGCCAGATGTACGAAACCAGAGGTTCTCACATTTGAGCCAGCATCAGCGTGAACTGTTAAAAAAGATTGCTGGGCCCAACCCACCAGAGTTTTGGATTCCATAGATCTGGGTGGAGCCTGCGAATTTGGATTTGCAACCAGTTCCCAGGAGATGCTGCTGGTCCCAGAACCACACTTTGAGAACCACTGGCTAAGATTACCCCCAATTTGTTTATCTGTAAGGTAAGTGGAGGCCCTGAGGGGTACAGTTCCAGCATCAGGTCAAAGTCCAGCAGGGGGCCTCGAATGCCCGTACCAATTCTCTGCACGCAATTCCCTTCTGGCGCAGCCCGGGGGTCACCGGGAGCACCTACAGTGCATCTATGCTAATTTGGAAAAGACGTCCCCTTCCTCCAAAGCAGGTGCAACCCTTGGCCAGGACCCAGTGCCTGCGTGTGGAGACTGAACAGATGCCTGGAAACCTGAGGCAGGAGAGATTTGGAAGCAGGAAGGGCAGGGCTTCCTATGGTGTGTGTGTGTGTCTGGGGAGACTGGAGACTGCAGGTGGAGGAAAGGCTTCGGGGCGAAAGGCTTTCTCCACTTCTTGGTCCCAGGGAGTACCAACCTGCACCACGGTACAGGGCGATGGTAGTTGTAAGCCGCTTCTCCAGAGGCTCCAGGTACCGTCCCTTCCCACCCTCCCCTCCTTCCGCACCCTCACCTCTCGGCCACCGACAGCACCCAGGCGGTGGTGAGCCAGAGGCCAAGCGTGAGGCAGAGCAGCAGGCGGCCGGGGTGCGTGTTCATGTACAGCTTGGCCACGAACCAGTGGCGGAAGCGGACCTGGTTGAGCGCGCCGATGCTGCGGTAGGAGGCGTTGAGCAGGACGCCGCTGCGCAGGAGCAGGGCGCGGGGCACCAGGTACAGGCGCAGCAGCATGGCCAGCGACAGCAGCGCCTCCGCCTGGCCCAGGAAGCTCGGCCGGGACTGCGTGACCGCCGTCTGCGGGGACCCCGAGATCTGCGCGCACGGCGGGCGCCACACCGGCGCCGGGTGCAGCGCGCACACAGCCAGCTCCAGCAAGATCTGCGCCGCCTGCCGCCCGGTCAGCGCCACGCGCCAGTCCCGGAGCCCGTTGTCCGTCATGAACAGCTGCAGGGAGGGGAACGGATGGAGAAGGAGGGGGGTCACACGAAGGTCAGGCGCCCGCTCCCCAGCCTGCGCGGGGAGATAAGGGGGGCGCGCCCGCGGGGCCGGAGAGGGAGGCAGATAGCGAAGGGCATGGGGCCCGGGAGGGTGGGAAGGGGCAGGGCAGGACCCGAGGAAGACATCTCTCCACCTTCTCCCCCTAGTTTCAGCCCACTTCCAGAACTTCCAGCCCAGAAACACTTATTGAGTGCCTATTGTATGCCCGACATTGTTCTATATATTGAGATATATTGAGGATATGGGTGGACAAAACAAACAAAACCAAACCCCTGCCTCTCCAAGAACTTACATTCCACATCCATAGAGCTATGTCCTAACTCCAGTTTCTAGGGACGCAGTAGTAATTGCCATCATCCCATTAGCAATGATAATAGCCAACATTTCCAGGGCACTTTGGAGGTGCCAGGCATTGCGCTATCCTCTTTATGTGTGTGACTCAGTGAATGCTCACAAGACAGATTGAAAATATTCTTACCCCCATTTTATAGATGCAGAAACTGAGGCCCAGGGCTCTCAGGGCACTTAACTATTCGAATGACTGCTTTAATGATAATGTGTACTTCTTGTACCGAGCACATCTTGTGTGCCAGGCACTGCAAGCGGCGTCACCACACTCGACCAATAACCCTCATTTTATACTGCAGAGGTGTGGGGGGAAGGGAACAGGATCTGGGGATGTGGGGGATGGGATGAGAGGGAAAGGGGTGGAGAGTCCAGTGTGGGTTGAGACATGAGATGGGAGGGGGAGATACGGGTGGGAAGGGCTCCTGGGTCTGTGGGGTGGTTGGCACAGCGGTGGGGAGCTCAGCAGTGGGGAAGGACCTGTGGGCACATGGCTAGGATCTTGGGTTGTTGAGACAGGAACAGGTAGGGACTCAGGGATGGAGAAGTGAGATCTGGGAGGCTGTGTCTTGTGTGAGGCAACCTGGGACAGAGTGGACAGAGGCCTGGGGGCGGGAACTCTCAGTATCTACAGGTGTGCAAGGTGAGACAGGGCAGCAGGTGGAGGAAGGTCAGGGCTGCTGGGTGGGGGGGGGGCGCTGTCTGTCCGTGGCTCATCCCCTCCGGGTGGATGAGGGTGTGGATGTATCTCAGGGTGGAGGAAGCTCATTACTCAGCCCAGGAGGTGGGAAGTGTGAGCCGACAGGGCGTGGGGGTGGGCTGAGGGGAGCTAGGAAGGGGCTGGGGGCCTACCTGGACCTCTTTGGCGTGAAAGGCCACAATAAGGGAAAGGAGCGAGAACGTGGAGATGCTGATCATGCATTTAACCAGGAACAGGTGGATCGCCCACTGTTGGGAGGGAGAGAGAAAGGGGTGAGGTCCTAGGTCTCCCTCAGCCCCCGCTGCACTCTTCCCAAACCGCCATCCCTTCTCCAGTCCCAATTTCCTAGCTTCCTAACCCCCAGCCCCCAACCCAGTTCCTCCTGATGCCTCAGGTCTGGGGAAGTCTCAAAAACCATCACCTGGTTCCCAGGGAGAGTGCCCTCTTCCTTCCCAAGGGGACAGCCCTGGCCCAGGTGCCAGTGTTCACCCTCCTCCTCAGCTCTTCTGCTAGGACTACACCCCTGAGGGAAGACCTTGAAACTCACATTCCTTCCTAATTCCCCTGTACTGATCCCCATTGATAATAGTTCCTCAGTTGTGTGTGTGGGGGGGGTCTAGAAACAGACATTTAGCTTCTAAAAAGTGGTCCCTCCCCTTCCCTTCCCACCCAGCTGGTCTCTGCCCTAGAAAGCAACTTCAGGTCCCTCCCCTCCCCCCGCGCCCCCGCCCCCCCGCCCGCCCTCTGCAGTTCCTGAGGAGCCTAGAAACTATCACTCAGGCCCCAAGGAATGAGTGACACCCTCCCCTGCTCTCATCCAGGGGGCTGGGTTCCTAAGACCCCAGCCCCAGCTCTGAGAA